AAGGTGAGATACATAAAGTGTTTAGGGTTCATAAAGCACTTTGGAATTAAAAATCACATTTTGAAGTTTTTACAAGGGAGAGGTTTACCACTTTAGATTAAAAAATACTTAAAGGTTTGCAGAGTACTTTGAGATAAAAACACACTTTAAGGTTTGTGAGGGAGAAGATTACCAGGCACCTGGAATTAAAAGCACTTCTTGGTTTACAAAACCCTCTGGAACTTACTACAAGAGTGGAGATGTACTCTGAGGTCATAGATCTCATTACTAAGAGCTGGCTAGTCCCTTTTGACAGATGACAAAACTTTGTGAGGGTGAGGGTCGGGGGGTGGGGGGTGGGGGCATGTTCTAACCTTCCAGTCACTCTCCAAGCTCCCATCTCCTGGCTCAATGGATGCCACCACCTTCTCAGAGATCAACACCTCTCCTGTCTTGTTGTCAGTCACCTGTGAAGATAGGAGGAGAGAGTGAGAGCAAAACTCCTTTCCTCCTCTTCCCTCCTCCCCGCAGATACTGCAGCATGAGGGATCCGAGGGAGACTCCAGGAGGTACTTCCCGGCATAAGCACCTTGTCAATCTGGAGGTGGCTGGCAAGAGTGTTGTTCCCCAGCTGTCCCTCCTGGTTCTCTTCTTGGTGGTAGTTCCTAGGGAGGCCCCGGAAGTCCACGGGGGCAGAGAAGAAGCTGTCCATGCCCCGTAGCAGGTCATCCTGGGGTCAGAGGAGGGACAAGTGAGCTGTTGGACCTCAGGACTCCTCAGTACATCTGCAGCTCTGCCAGGATGTCCCCCAGGCCTTGCCAAGTTCCTTTCATCCCCCTTCCCTCTCTGTCTTCTGACCCTTAGGACCTAATTAGTCACCTCCTGCTGCCATCCCCCATCTCTTCTGCCTCTATTCTCTGCCCCATTACCTTCCTATTCTTGCCCCTCATGTCCTACTATCTTTGTTCTATCCCACCCTTGAGTCTCTTGTCTCTGTCCCATCTCCCTCTGCCTGTTTCCCTCCCCCTTTCTATCTCTCAGTCTCCCTGTTGCTCTCTGCCCCTTAGAATCCCTCTCTTCCTGCCTGTCCTTCTGCCTGGCCGCGACACATCTTCCATTGTCTCCCTGAACCCCTTCCATGCCTCAGACTTCATCTGTCCCTGTCCCTCTTTCTCTGGAACCTTGTCTCCCCAACCCCTGCCATCGCTCACTTTCAGGAAAAGCCGGGTGAAGCCTTGTAGTAGTCTCTGGAGGCCTAGGAAACCCGAGGAGCTTTCCTGGGCGTCAGCATCGCGGATCGGGGCTGCAGTGGAGGGTGGCACCCAGGCAGAGGGGAGCAGCAGCAGCAGAACCAGCGCGTGCCACATCGTGGGGCGGCCCAGAAGGCTGTGGCATCGGTAAGGGTGAGAACCCCCACCCAAGACAATCATGCTTTTCCTATCCCTTGCCCAGGTTTTACCCCTTGTTCAAGCAACCCCCCCAATCCCATTTCCCCCCCTCCCTTTTTCTTCTGCTCCCACCCCCTCCATCTCGTCAGGCTCCGCGGGTCCTCCCAGGCCCGACTCTTCTGGGCTCTGCCTCATACCCGGATCTCATTCCTCTCCTTCCCTCACATTCATCCCCAGACCTCACGTCTCACCTTCTCCTTCTCACCTCCCGGGCCCGCCTTTATAGTAGACCACAGTCCGGTCACCAGACTCTCAGACTTGGGCCGTCCAAGGACTGTTAAATCCAAACAGTTCTGGTCTCGAGCTCGAGCGGGATACCTGGAGCGTTGAATGAGCTTCACGAGCCCCAGCCGCGCCCCTTAAGGCCTGGTCACGCCCCCCACATGTGACCTCACCCACTAGCCCGGCCCTCTATTGGTTAGTCACGCCTCTATTCTGTTAGCCACGCCCCTTGAGTCCGCTCGGCGTTCTACCGCGGTCGCGCTCAACGTCCAGACCACGCCCCTTTCGGTTGACCCGGGCGTTGGAGACCCAAGCCCTGCCGGTCCCGCTCCAATCGCAGGTGGCCACGCCCCCTGCCCTAGGGCCACGCCTCCGAGCTCCGGGTCCCGCTCGCAGCGCCCTCAGTTTCTTCCCTAGGCTCCCTCTGCTCTTGAACAGCCCTTCAGGTTAGCCCGCTCCTTATTTGTGTACCTATCTCAGAGTTTCTCCGTTTCGCTTCTCGTCTTCTCCAGGATCTGAAACCGCTAATGCAACTCAACAGAGGGCAATGTGGGGACGCTTTCGGCTCCACTAAAACCGCCCTGCTCTCTCCGGATAACCGAAATCCAGTCTTCTGTCCCAGTTTCCAAGAAACTCGGGATCAGGGCTCCCTCAGGTCCCCAGAGTCCGGGCGGCAGCCTCTTCTGGTTCTATGAGTTTGAACACTCAGCCCCTCTCCCCTCAGGCAACCTAATGTCTCTCTCTGTCCTGGGACAGCGCCGCCTCAAGGCCACGAGTGCGTGTGAGTGCGGGAGTCTCCGCCTCCGTGGACTCCGATAACTCCCGGTCTTGCCCACGACTCTTAATTCTGGTGAGGTCACAAGGAAACCGTGCTATTACAGAAATCAATCACCCCCC